GGAAGCAAATGTTTGTAGTTCACTTTGAAAATTATACTAGCCTGAGCATATTGGTGTAAGGAGATATTGGAATAGTTAATTTTTGGACTACAATCTATCAACCAGAATGGCCATACCTATAACCATGCTGGCTAGGAGATGTAACCCAGTAATTTTTCTAACAAGCATATAAACACATATGTGTTTGCACAAATTATACAAACACATCATTGGTTAGTTCACCTTTGCAAGCTAATTCTCAATGGTTGCAGGCATCCTATTTAAAGAAAAAGATAGGATGCCTTTCCCAATTCATTTGAGGTTGGAGGGAGGTGTGTTCCCTACCTTAGCACCTGGAGCACCAGCTTCTCCTTTGGAACCGTCTAATCCAGGGTAACCCTAGAAAATGAGAGGAAAGCCATAAGATTCACATTGGCTCTTCTGACACACTTGTATCCAGAGAAATTTAAAACAAACTATTAAAACAAATACGTAATATTTACAAACTTACTCTGTGTCCCTTTACACCAGGAAGACCTGGGGTCCCAGGAAAACCTCGAGCACCCTAGAAATAAACAAGAAATCAGTTCCAAGTGAAAAACATACTGCTGGCATAACAAAAGCTAAAATATAGAGTAAGACACTGAAGTACAAAGTCCCTTATCTATTAGGCCGTTTCAACCCACAGGTATGGCCTATGCTGAAGCAAATAATACAGAATAAGGGGGAGGGGGAACCTAATATCCTCTTTAGCCCTTGACTCTGTTTCTCTGATGATACTACTAAATACACACTTGCTTACTGTCTCTTTTCAGCAGGCTATGATCCAATGGCACCTTAATACATCAAGTTAAGCAGAACTATGAGGTAAAGTACTGAGATCATCAACACCAATTAATTACAATGCAGCTGATTAATACACTGCATTCATACCCTAGCCTTTTCTTCCCACTCTCTATAAGATCTGCTGCCCTTTACAGGTTTCTATACTCTTTGCAATTTGACATAAGTGCCAAAGGCCACAGAATTTGGAACTGTCTACAGAAGAGAATCTCAGAGTCTATATGTTTTCCCCCATTGTCTTCCAAAGCAAGTTTCAGATAGCTCCATAGATACAATTACAATGTACAAGCAATACAGCTGTGATTGAGTTCTGCAGAATTCCTAGTGATCAGGATCTCACTGCTTCTCTCCATAGCTAGAAGTGCAGGATAATTTTGTTAAGATATAGATTTATTTAATTTTCATTTTTACAAAATTTGGCTTTTATGATACAAGGAAAATTGGTTGCACGAGTCCATAATTTTGATTTTGTTTAGTGCACAATTTTAATTCTGTTTTATAGATCCACCTGTCTTTTCACTTTTATTAAATATGGGTTTAACTCTGATGGTAATGAGGCCAATTCAACCTAAATCAGAGGAAACTTCATCCTCAAAGATGTCTGTTCACATCAGCTTAATGTGCTCTTAGGAGACTGTGGCTTCTGCTAAATATCTGAATCTAGTTTTATATAAACTGATATTGACAATATACTGAACACATTCTCACCTGAGGCCCGGGTGGTCCACGTTCTCCTGATTTGCCAGGCTTGCCTGCTTCACCCTGAAAAGTAATATATGTAACAAAATTTACTTTATTTTCAAAAAAGGACTATATTTGTACAGAATGTGAGACCAGAAGAGAACATAAGAATCACCAAAGAAATTAAGGTGCCATTTATTAAGTCAGACTAAAGTCTTTCATAGCCTGGCATTCTGTCTTAAAAACAAAATTGTAAGTAGACACATTCCCTTTGCATTTTAAAATATGACCACTGCACTTTCTCTTTCGGAAATGATTTTATACCATTTCAAACTGCAGCATTTTAATATGATAGGTTTCTTAATTGTTTAAAAAAATTAATCATCGGGCTTTTAGTTGTTATCTTATGTTAACCTTGTTGTAAGCCATCTTGGGTCCAATGTCAGGAGAAAGTCAGGATATAAGTTAAATTAGCAAATAACGAAGGGAAATGTTAAGAGAATCATGGGATTCCATTCTCTTGCATTTCCCTTTCAGCTATGGAAAGCCCCAGAGGTACTCTAGATAAGACTCTGATTATGGAGCATTTAGCATCCTCTCTTGACTCCTAGCCATTTTCTACACAAATTTGGGTAGCCCTTTTTTCCATGATGCTATACACATGGGCCTTTTTCTCACAACAATTATGTCCCAGAGGTCAACTGCACACTGTGTGGAACAAGTCATCCTTTTGCTTGTCAGGATCTTGCTTCTTGTAAATTTAATTGCACTACCATATAAACTTGACTATAAGTTGACCTCATGTATACGTCAAGGGCAGGTTTTGGGCCCAAAATTATGGATTTTTATATGACCCGTGGATAAGTTGAGGGTAAAACTTAGGGCCATGTACAAAGGATTTAAAGAATGAAGCAAAGGAAAACAATGCCAAAGAACTTAACAAAATTCCAGCAGGCATAACTGTTTGTGCTCATCCTAAAAGCTAAATGGATGAAAGAATAGAGTGAGGTCAGTGCTTCCAGGACAGATTATACTCTTGCCTTTCACTAGGAGATGGTTCCTTTTTTAAGATAAGAGTTAACATACAGTACTAACATTGACCTGTGGATAAGTCGACTCTGGTTTTTGGGGTCAATTTTTGACTAAAATTTCTAGACTTATACATGAGTATATACAGTATTTAGAATGCTGTTAAGTATACAGGATGATGCATAAAATACGTAGTGTTTTAATATTTCAAACAGTTATGCATCATAATTCAACATGACGTTTGCAGTTAACTACTGTATTCTGAAACCGTGGTTTCAAAAAAATAATGAAACAGAATACTCACATCATCGCCAGGTTTTCCAGGAGGTCCAGGTGGCCCGCGAGGACCCATTGGACCCTAGGGAGAAAAGAAAAAGACATACATGGAAAGCATGAAATATGGTCTCTTATGGACAGTGGACCCATATGTTGAAAAGCTCTTCTGTAGCTGTAGACTCCCCAAGTCACTGGTCATGCTAGTGCTCCTTCTGTCCCTATCTGGAGATTTATACACTGACTTTGTTGAAAATCTGTCTTTTAATGCTGGGAGAAAATACATCTACAGTAGACTAGATGATTTCCATGAAATATGGCTGCTGAAATGCTATCTAATAAGGTACTGGCATGATAGAGTTGTATAAAGCTATACAAGGTGTGGAGAAAGTAGAAAAGGAGAAGAACATCTTCCTTTCTCGCTAGAAACAGGATTCAGTCAGGAAGGTTAAATAGTATGAGATTCAGAACAGGCACAAGGCCTTTTTCATACAACTCAATAGCTAAACTGGGAAATTTGTCACCATGGGATGTAGCAATGGCCAGCAAGCTGGATGGTTATTTAAAAAGAGGATTAGACAAAGGCATGGAGGACTAGACCATTAACAGCCACTGCTGTGAAGATGGCTATATATTGCCTTCAATATCAGAGGATGCAGCCCTCTGAATACCAACTGCTGGGTTGCACTCATGTCCTGCTTTGTAAGGGGCTTCCCATAGGCAACTCATTGGCCACAGTTGGAAAAAGGGCAAGGGACTGGACAAACCTTTAATCAACACAATTCATAGTATGTTCTTATGGCCTGCTCCAGAGAGCAGATACTGGGGCCCTGACATCATTGGGAGGCTGAGAAATGTTGAACAAAACCTTTAAGCAAAGGTTATAATGACCACTCATCATAAATAGGGTATCTGTTAATCATCCTGTGCATACAATTAAGATGACCAGCACCACTTTACACACATAAAATGGATTTTTTTTATCCATGGATTCAAGCATTTACAGCTTGACAACATTTTTAAGAAGTACAAGTTCCAAATAGCAAATCTTGATTTTGCCATTTTATATAAGGGACACCATTTTACTATACCACTTTATTTAATGGGACTTGAGTATCCACAGATTTTGGTATCCATGGGGAGAGGGTTTCCTAGGACCAAATCCTAGTGGATGACAAGGGCCCACTGTATTAATATACATTAGGAACTGACTATGAGCACAAAACGTGGTTTTGAAATAATGCAGTCTACAAAGGCATGAAGTTATGTAGGCAGCCTAACAGAACAGGATGACATTGTACTGAAAAGCTGTCCTATGTAGTACAGGCAAGCTGTTCTTTTATTAAAGTACACAGACAATTGAAAGATGACTTTTTTTAAAAAAAAAATATTAATCAACTTCTTGGGTGTAGGATTGGAGTTTTAGTATTTTTTTAACTTCATATTTATTTTACCATATTTTAAACTGCCACTTCTGATACTTCTTAAGACAATATGTATTTTTTCTTTTTTCCTTTTTCAGAAACAAACTTTGCATACCAGTTTAGATAAAATTGGGAGAATGATAACAAATAAGGTGGAGCATAAATTATGACTATATAAATTATATGCTGTATAAATTAATATACAACTCCAAATAGGCCTCTCAATATAGATTCTAATAAAAATCCATTAAAAACAGTTATCACACATAAAACATATCCAATGTCTAGGTAATAAAATGGCAAAAGACTTGAAAGCAATTATAAACAAATCAGGTTTGGGGGTTGTGACCCAGAGTCCACTGAAATAAACCTCTATTTTTCTAAAATCCATGAAGGGAGCAAAATCCATAAGCCTTCTAAGCACCAAATTCCACAGAGCTGATGCAACCACTAACAAAGGTCCCACCTCTCATTGCTTCCAGTTTAATCTCGGAAGGTCTCCAGGGAACTAAGAGAAGAGCCGTATCCATTATCATGAGGACACAGGAGCAAACATATAAAACAACCTCCTCCAATCCAGTGTTTTCAATTGGCTGGCACTGATGAGATTTACCATTTTTCTTTTGTTGCCGTATGCCTTCAAGTCGTTTCCAAGTTATGGCAACTCTATCACAAGGTTTTCTTGGCAGGATTTGTTCAGAGGGGGTTGCTTTTGCCTTCCTCTGAGGCTGAGATAGTGTGACTTGCTCAAGGTCACCCCATGGATTTCCATGGCTGAATGGGATTTGAACCCTGATCTCCAGAGTTATAGTCCCAACACTCAAACCACTAAACCATTCTGACTCTCAATATTTAACACAGAAAGCCTAAATAGTGTGGGAGATGAGTGAAGTGGTACATCATTTCCTAAGTCTTGCCAGACACACCAGCTAGGGCAAGGCAAGGGGAAATTTACAGGGCTTTTTTATTCATAGCATTTCCTTTATATATATATATATATATTCCTCCTTTATGAAGAAAATTACCCCAGCTAGGATGGATAGAGGATGGGTTTACAGGGCTTTTGAGCCACAGGATTTCTTTCTATAAAAAATTTTCCCCACTGGGAAAAATTAGCTACCCCAGCTCCAAACTGGCATGGCTAAAGCGGTGTTGGCTAAAGTGGGGAGAGCTATTTAAATCCTCAATTCCAGACCTTCCAAATGCCATGTTTCAGGGTCTACTACTGGCAGGAATAGCACCTGAGGTAGATTTAACATCCACAGAGCTCTCCACAGTTGTAACTAGGGTCATTGTGCCTTCTTCCTCTATACAGAAGCTTATCTGTCCTATGCTAACCCTCACAAAATACCTGATCTGGAGATTAGGACCACTTAGTGTGGTATGCATAGCCAGACTGCCATCAGAGAGCTTCTGTCTGTGTCAGTAAGACTTCACACTTCAGAATAAGTGTTTAACACTTGACATGGTACTGAGAGAACATCAGTGCTTTCCTTTTGCTACAATTATACATTAGGACTTGAGAAAAGAAATGCACCGCAAACAGAACAACAGCTTCACAAGGTGGCATGATTTCCAAGACGTTTCAGAAAAACTCTTTAGTTGTTTTCAAAAATGTTTTGAAATGTCAAACCAAAAGTTACATCTTCCTCAGCAAAAACTATTTGGAACAAAACCTTCCTCTGTAGCAAATTAAAGAAGTGTGCAGCAGCTCTGATAATCAAACTTAGAAAACACCATATCTCACATCACACTATGTAGGGTCTGTACTATTATTTTTTCCACCAAATTTCAAACACTACACTATTAAGTCTGTTTAAAAATGAGGGGACTGAGGGAGAGCTGCTGTTTTCAAGCACAGTTTCAATTTCTTCTCTTTGTGTTCATACACCAGTGACTTTTCCACCCAGAGAAGCTGTGTAAGTCTGTCTCAGCATAAAAAGAAAAAATGGAATGGAGATCTAACAACACTTATGAAAGTGATTTATTTTAGCATGAGGTTTCATGGATTTCACTCCACTTTTGGCCATTTCAATGTGTCTGAAAAAGTAGAGTGAAATCCATGAAAGTGCATGTTGAAATATTATCAGTTAGGATGCATCTACACTGTAGAAATAATGTAGTTTGACACCACTTTAACTGCCATGGCTCCATCCTATGGAATCCTGCCATTTGTACTTTTGTGAGGCACCAGCACTCTTTGGCAGAGAAGGCTAAAGACCTTGTAAAACCACAAATCCCAGGATTCTATAGGATGTGGTGTCAAACTATGTTATTTCTATAGTTTAGAATCACCCTCACTCTTAAAGTGCTGCTCAGTTTCCTTTCCTGCCCTCCCTTTCCTTTTTACACAGATGTCCTATGGATGCTACAGACCATATTCTCCATGTATTACCATGTACTACTCCATGTATTCTCCATATAGAGAGCCAGCATGGTGTAGTTGTGTGAACATTGGACTATGACTCTGGAGACCAGGGCTCAAATCCTGGCTTGGCCATGGAAACCCACTGGATGACCTTGGGCAAATCACACTCTCAGTCTCAGAGGATGGCAATGGCAAACCCTCTCTAAAGAAACTTGCCAAGAAAACCACATGATAGGTTTGCCTTAGGGTTGCCATAAGTTGGAAAGGACTTGAAGGCACAACAACAAATTAGCACACTAAAACCCTACATTCAGCACAAAAGATGGACCAGAAGACCTCAGATCTATCCTACTCATAAAGATGCAAGAGCACTGCTATGGCTTCACAGTGTGGCCACATGCTCATAGCTGACTCTGAATTCCAGTTCCTCATCTTCTAATCCCTAAGTGTCTTTTCACTGGCTAAGATATATCATTCTACGGTATCTTTCTCATCTGGATCCACAGGAAGAAGTCTCATGAATAATTTCCACTTTGATCTCCTAAAGTTGAACCACGTAAGGCTGGACTAACTCATGCAGAAAGCCGCCCTTTGGAGATTCCCATTGGGAAACTATATAATGGACACACAAGTCCATTGAAGCAGGCACACAAGCCAGGAAGGGGCAGTGGTTTCCATGTCAGTGGAGTGATGAATTTACACTGGATTTAAAATGATTTCAAACTCACTTTAAAATGAGCTGTCTAAGGTCCTGAAAACTATTCACAGAATAGGTTCAATACCATGGAGATCGCCTTTAAAATTCAGACTGAATCCCAGTATGGATTCACTAATCTGCAAAGATAAGAAGCAACAGTGCCACTGACACAAGCTTCCAGTTGCTATCCTGAGCACACCATAACAGCAACAATTCACTGGCAACAGTTGAACCCTGGGATGCAAGAACACTATCTACTGTCCCCTGGATTTGCCACTTGTTGGATTTATTCAAGCCTTCTTCAAAGTACAGTAATTCCAGTTTAAAAGTAAGCTACTGCAGGACCAGCTCAGGAGAGAAAGTGACAAAACACACAGCACTGTCTATAGTTAAAACTACTCTAACATATTGACACCGAAACCATTTTTTTTTGCTGATATACAGTCACCCCTCCATATCCACTGATCCTGCATCCATGAATTCAACTATCCACAGATTAAAAATATTTTTAAAAATCCAAAAAAAAAAAAAAAAAGCAAACCTTCCTTTTGCCATTTTTATATATGGGACACATTTTACTGTGCCATCATATTTAGTGAGATTTGAGCATCCACAGATTTTGGTATCCACATGGGTCCTTGGAACCAAAGGATACCAAGAGGCCACTGTTTTAATAGAAGGTAATTCTATCAATGGAACTAGCTAGGGTTCTTGGTGGTAATAATATTTTTAATATGATTTTAATTTTATTTTTTAAAAAATCATTGCATTTTATGCATCATATTCACCATGAATGGCAAACAAAAATCATAAGAGCATTTTATTTTATTTTTTAAAAGATACCAATGTTAAGTTATATGTAATCCTTCTATTTTATTTGGTTTTAAGTTATAGCATGTCTACTGACTGTAAATAAAGATTGATTGAAAAAGATACCAATTAAGAATTATTAGGCTAAAAGACTTTATGAGAGCCATCATAATAAAACAGTTGCATGACTAACAAAGCACATCAGTAAAAAGGAAAGCTATCAAAGTTTTTTTTTTAATCCATAGCTGAATGGGAAAACTATATATGCCTTTGTAGGGGCAGAGTCAACAAAACTATATTCTTTGTGTTTGCCAGATGAACTGATCTTAAGGTCAGTGAAAGAATAGGACTTTAAAGGCCAAAAACACCAATCTGAAGTGGATTCTGAAACACAATAGTAACCAGTGCAATTGGTACAGAATTTATGTAGTATAGTCTGCCTATTTCAACCTAGTGAACTGTTGAATGGCCACATACTACACCAGCTGAAATTTTAGGTCATTGTTAAAGGCATTACAGGACCACATTAAAAACATTTTCCAGTGTAGATGTAACTAGATAAAGTTACGATGATCAATTTTTTGGCAACCACAGACTGTTTCGACAAACAGCACCAAATCCGAAAAGCTCTCAGACTGCAAACTTTGTCTAGAATCACTTTTAGGTTTATGATCATTTATTTAAAAATCCCAAGTAAGTATATGGTGCCCCAATGTGGAACTGAGACCATCATGAGCAGGTAGAGAGGCTTAAATCTTAACTCTTCAGCTGCACCTTTCTGGGTACCAAATCCAGTCCTCCCTCCTTCCTATCTTCACAGAGGGTCAAACAAAATGGGGGGGGAACCTCCACTGGTACCAATTATATCCTACAAATTCACACCTGCCCCTGTCTTATAATAAATGCAATAAAAGTCTGAGGTGTGTGAAGGAGTGTCTCCTTTTTACTTCTCTAAACCTAGATGCTGATCAGTTTCATTCAGTAAATCTGAGTTCTAGTGTTATGACAGATGGAAAAAGAGTTTTCCTCTATCCACTAAACTTCTATCTTGTCTTCTGTTTCTAAGTATCAGGCCCCAAACATTCTCTCTGTGATAGTAATTTCAACATAAACATCAGGCTTTCATTACAAAGTCAAAATCTCAATATTTTTATTTCGTGTTAGATATGCTCAAGCCCATGCCTTTTGAGAACCCTTTCAATTGACACTTAGTCCAGGTAGTGAATTCAAACCTTTAAAAGAGCTATCTGAGGTGCTGGACCTATTTGGAGAGTGCTGAATCTATTGGTGCTGAACCTGAGGTGTTGGACCTATTTGGGCTTAGGTCCTTTAAAATTCATACTAAAATCCAGAATGGATTCATTGTCCCGCACTGGCATAAGAGCACAGCCTCTACTGACCATTTATTCCCTGTGTCTAAACAGTTCTCCCCTGATTCTGGAATTTATGAAAACCAAGAGGAGACTGGTGAGCCTACTTGGCAAGAGGAAAGAAAGACTATGTGTACCAGTCAACTGTGTCACAGATGTCTGCACAACCAGTCTTTGTGGAAGACTACTGTACTTCCTAGATACTCACACTAGTACCAGGTTCTCCAGGTTCACCAGGGCTGCCTTGAAATCCTTGAGGGCCCTGAAAGAAGATCACAAAGAAGACATCTTCAGTGGTCACTTTCCCTCTCCTTCACAATCTTTATCCAACATGACAGATCATCAACCAGAGTGAAAGGTGTTGATACTTACAGGAGATCCTGGTGGTCCTGGGGGTCCTCGTGGTCCCATAGGTCCCTATTGAGAGAAAGATTTTTATAAGTCAGTATAATCAAAGAAAGGGTCCCATTTCAGCATAAGCAAGAGATTTAGGCCTGGCTTCATGACCATTAGGAAGCAGAACAGGGTTAACTCCATGGCTTTTGCATTGACACAACATCTTTAGTTATCTTTTTCTCTCTACACACTATCCAGGACT